AAGTGTACAACATGCCCTGCGCGGTGGGGGGTTTGGGGGGGGGGGGGGTAAATGGAATGCTTCTCTCAGTTAGAATAAGGGCCCTTGTGGCAACCTTATCAAAGAAGGATTCTTCTCACTATATTTCAAAAACCACACAAAACATTGTCGAAAGACATAAGCAAATCCCAACATGGACAACAAAAACACTGACTGCATCTGGAACAAAAGAAGAGTGGCATTGCAATCATCGACCTTTATCCACATTATAAGTCTGATGGCCTTCTGACCTTCCTCTTTCCAAGTGTTTTGGTTGTTGATTCCATGTATCTGTGTGATGAGATGGCTGGCTATCTGATTTCTTCAGTTTGTCTGAACTTTGATGAGATTTACCTTTGCTCAATCCTTTCTCTGAAATGTGAACTGACTCCGACCCTTTACCCTTTTCCGAGTGAGCTTCAGAGCCTCCATATCTATTGGGGGATGGAAGTGTTTGGGGACGTTCAGATCCTTTTCCTTTTTCAGAGCGACTTGAGCCTTTATCCATATTTTGGAGTTCATTTGCCACATGACTTCGGCCCACCTTCAAAAAGTTCAGTCTGGATGTCAGTTTTGTCAGTGCAGAAGTAGTGGAATTTGCTCCCTGTTGTGAAAGCATTTCAATAAATAAGTCTATCTAGTCTACTAGCTAGTCCTATCAATTTGCAGTATCAAGGTTCATCCCAGTGGAAACTTGTTGGTTTCTAGGCTAACAGGTAGGTAACTAACTATCTATCTTCCATAAAAATTAAAATTTTACCTTGCACTGAATAACTAAATTGAATTCTTCATCCCATTACTAAGCAATGTTATATAAGTGACAATGATGCAACCAGGAGCCAGGACAGGAATAACATAACGTTATATAGTGGAATGAATTTGAGAGAATAGGAGCTTGAAACTCGATTGACTTTGGCATTTAATTGACTTTTGGATGGATGAGGGGTATTTGGTTGTAGTTCTGAACTTCTGATTACACAATTTAAAGAGAATGTTCGTTTATATCTATGTTCATAGCCAAGTTTATGAAACATACCTCACCCTTTGTACCAGATTTCCTGGAGCTAGTTGGTGGATGTTTGTTTGATAAAGGTGTTGACTCTGGCTTTCTCTCAATATTATTTTCTGCTCTCCCGATATGAATCTCCTGTTGTGCCATTACCATTCCCTTGGTTTGAGAAATGATAAATTGCAAGTTACTATCATCATTTTCAGCAAATATGCTCATTTTCTCGTATAAAGTCACATGAGAAAATAAATGAATAACCACCTTTGGCTTTTAAATGAGAAAAGCTTGAGAGGTAACAGCTTGAAGAGTTATGCAATTTGTTGTCAAGCCAGCAAAGTATAAACAACAAAAATATGTTTGGGAGAAAGAAAAGAAGATCTATTGGATTCTTGTAATTGTAAGTAACCACAGAAAGCTTTATTGTTCAAACTTCAAAATTATTGATACCTAGTCAACTTGGTTATATGGACGTGCTAGATCCTCTTCTTTTTATATTAGTATGTTCATTGTTTTAAAACTCATTCAAATCTTCTTTTATCTTTCTGCTAAGATATGGATCAGTTAAAAATAAAATAATTCTAGAAGTAGAATGAGGGATAGAGGATTGTCAGCAGTTATAAATTTTAATTTATATAATATTTTCAAAGTTTTATGTTACAAAGGATAATGGGAAATTTCTAAATTGTGTGCAGTTGTATCTTCATTCCTCACCTTGTTCAACAATCAAAGGAGTATTTTTTCAATATATACTTTTACAAAATTTACTCACTGGAGAGACTATAAACGGGAATTGGTTCCTAATAACAGTATAGAGAAGATAATGAAAGACCTGAGCCTCTTTTATTACTATCATTGCGATCACTTTTAAAAGTATTGCAATCATATACTTAATAACGGGCCTATGTTTTATGGTCTCTCCATAAAATATTGCTCTTAAAGATTTTGACTTTTCTGCGTGTGGCAGATACTTTGGAATAAATCCTCTATCGATACTGAAGATTTACCTTACTTATTGACCTGTCAGATTGTGATGTGGCAGCAACTTCAGCATCTGCCTTTTGTTTCCTGTTAAAAGAAGTATCAGTTAAGAAAGTAAAATCTAATTATCCATATAATTTAAATACAAAAAAGAAGCAGTCGGGTGGAAACAAACACCACATAAGCAAACAGAAGCAGTCAAATGCCAAAAGGACTTCTAAAAGGATGTGGGAAGAAATATTGTGAACAGAACAATTATCCATAAACATTGAAGCAATTAGGAGATCAGGATTGTAAAAATAAGGGGGAAGAATTGTAAAAAACACATGGGTAAATGATAAACATACAATTTTCTTTCCTGATTTGATATCTGTTGTGGTTGACTAGAGAAATCCGAAGTAGTTCCATGATTCCGATGAAGTTGTGCATTAAGCCTCACCCCAAGCTCCCTAACCTTCCGCTCTAAGTAGGCAAGATCTGCTTCTACCAGAGCTAATTCCTCAAGCTCTGTCTTGTTCTGTATAAGATTTGGATATTATGAATGAATTGCATGATCAAAACTCAAACCATCTTTGAGTGGATTTGATAAGCCTTTTCACCAATATTTCGTAAATCATAAACTGAATCCTACCTCGAGAGCTAACTGAGAATTCTTTTCCTTGTGCAACTGTTCCTGTAGTCTAGCCACCTGTGAAAAGAAAATTTAGAAAACAAAATTTATTTACATGGAGGAAGAGGGTAAATTCTCTCATAATGAACATACATCGTGCTCAAGAGACAGACGACGGTCATCCAAGGCTTTCTTTTGTTTGTCTGCTTGAGACTGCAGCTCTGCATTTGCCTTCACCTACAACAGCAACCAAAACTGATCAATTAAATAAAAAGAATTCTAACACATTTAAACAATGTAATCCAGAAAGGAAATAAAAAACATACCTCCTCTGCAATTTGGGTTTGTAATTCTGCCCTAGCAGCTTCAAGCCTTTCAATTTCCTCTCTACAGTCAGGAACATAAATTAGTGGACGAGATACATGAAGAAACTAACATCAGGCATACAAACTCTTAAGTATCAACTCCACATCAAATCAAAACATGCACAGCCATGTATGCTTAACATTTGAATTCGTGGTTAAGTGGCCATAAACTTCCAAAAGTTATGGATGGTCACTCTGACAGCAAAAGTATGGATGCTGATGATGGAAAGACAGTGCAGCCAAAGCAAGGAATTTTTTCTTGCCTACTCAATTTTCCCTGGTTCTTAACACAAGAAAGAAAAGAAACTGATCGGTTTTGATCTTTTGCTTCTGAAATTCCAGGTAAATATGGATATGATACTATATTCTTGCTAACATAATTCAAGCATACAGATATATAATAAAGCATTTATACTGGGCTGCTTGATCCTTTAATTAATTATCACACCATTTTTCACTTCCTGTATGACTTTGTTTTGACATTTCTTTCATTTATGCTTTATATCCATATGACACATTAACATCATACATGGTATCTATGTTACTCGTAGAAGATACTTGCATACTCTGATAGTAATATGCTAAAAAAATGGAGATTTAATCTTGAAATGTAATCTAATGGTGTTGGTATGTCTGGGTAAATTGTGCACTCTGGTGTTTTAGGGGATTGTTGTGGTATTCTGAGAGTAAATAAGAATTTCTTGTTCGTTAATGACTCTTCTCTCTCTTGCAAAGGCATACATTACAATTTGGAAAACAAGTACTTGCAGTTTATCCCTCAAATATGTGATGCTTTGATCAATCACAAAAACTAATTTACAACTATAGTCCAAATTCACCTAGGAACAGGATAAGATTATAAAGAAACACAACATAAATTTGGCAACAAATGAGATAAAATAGAAACTACAAGATTACAAATAGAGACAGAGCAAGAGAATTGCAAATAATTGATAGATGTCAATACTTACTCATCTTCAATTGGAAAATCAATGGATTCCATGGAAAGATTCTTCCTTGCCTGGACAAAATGCAAAAGAAGAGAAAACCAGACTTACTAGTATGAAAGCAATTTGAGTTTGACTCACAAAGAAAAGTAACTAAATCGAAATAAAAATTAACATTAACAGAGAAAGTTTTAACCAACTTAAGGCGAGTGGCAAAGACATAACCAGCAAGATAAAAAATAAAAATAAAAAAATCAAACCATCATTTTTAAAGATTTACTTACAGAGGTGCGCCCCAACAAGGTGCGATGCCGAGGTGCTGGGCCATTGGACATGGTATTGGATTTTTTAATACATGAAGCAGGGCTAGGATTCTTTGAATTATGCAATGTAGCTTGGTCAGTGGAGACTCCTTCAACTTTATCAGCAGGCTTATTGGACTGGTCTACATAGCCAGTCTTATTTGGACTGGTGAGATGTTCAGAGCTTTTGATATCTTCATGTTGAGTCACTGAGACTTCAAGTGACTTTGATGATAACTTTCGAGTGGGTTTCAATTTTTCACTCACACCTGAGGATTTCGAACTTGAACTAGCGTGATCATGGCCCTGTTTGTTCATTACCAAAAAATAATTAGAATAAGAATTTTTGTTCTTCTCCTAGTCCTCCACATCCAGGTGGCAGTGATTGCATTCACATTAGTAACTGTCTTGGAGGAAAAAGTGTAAGGATGCTCAGATTAAATTGATGGAACACATCACTCTATATAGTCAGTTCAAATAATAATTCAAGTTATAGGAGCAGTTTTAGAGCTGGGGTAGGGGAATAGTTTGTTCAACAATACAAAGGATAAAATGAAAACTAAGACCAGTTGAAGTTAGGAAGTGAACATTGAAAGAAGAAAAGGTGGCAAGTTCAAAGGTAAATTAATCTACCATGTTTAGTCTGAAGAGACTACACATCTTTCCTTCTTCAAGGAATTAAAAAGTATGGTACTACTTCTTTTTATGCATTTATACCATGTATATGAATAATTAAATTAATGCTAACCCTGCCACTTCTTGTCTGACTGTAGATTTGCTAGAATGAATTAGTGCCAGATAGCCAGAAAAGGCCCGACAGGATGATGAGCAGTAACACTTTTTCCATCCTTGGGACAATTGACTTAGATTTTTTAAATGGACTTTATAATTTACTATTTTTCCTAAATTAAATTTGGTCTTGTGGAATGAAACGGATTAATGAAAAACCTATTTATTATATTTTCGTGAAATAAAAAAATTAGGTTTGAACCTCATCATCATATGCATCATCAGCCTCAGAATCTCCAGTTCCGCTGTACGATTCACTAACAAGATCATCTGCATCAGACCCCTGTATTGATTCATCTTGTTCATCATCATAATCTTCATCATCATCATAGGACAAATCATCATCAGTTGCCTCCCCACTCTCAGATCCACTGTCTTCTTCTGAGTCAGTGTATATATCAGGGGACACAGAACCTTCCTGCTAGAAAACTAATAACTTAGGAATATGAAGAGACAATAATAAATAACAATAACAACCAACCCTAATAACATAAGATCGAATCAGCTACATGGATCCTTTAGCACCAATGGGCTCTATTGAAAAATAGAAGCATACAGAATAAAAAACATAATATAAATGAAAATGAATAATGTATTTAACTAGACAGAGGCAAAGAGTCACTCCACTTATGAAGTCCAAAACTTAAAAAAAAATACTGATTTTGATCCTATTGCAGATGTTTTTTCATTTGAAGGGGACTTCTTAGTCAGGGATTTGATGGGCAAGAGTGTTTGGGATGATAACCATTCTTTGCCATCTTAAACTGATATAAATATAAGGAATGGCTAGTTCATCAAAAAATGTAGCATACTGCTAGAAGGTAGTTTGAAATTGAGAACCATCCATTCAAATACTTGCAAAAAAATATTTCATGGGCATCTGATCATGTCTTCTCTTGTGAAAAAGAATTCAACCAATAAGGAAGTAATGCAGCTCTTGTAAATTAGGGAGAAAAATGTACCAGAGGAGGTACGATTCAGCATACCAGCATGAAACATCTATCCTTAAAAATGATCCAAGAGTCTAACAGATGAATGTGACACGGTTTCATAGTTTATATATGGAAGGCATGAAAAAATAAATATCAAAATATAATTACCCCAAATATGCTGCTATATTCTTCTAATAAAGTTATACAAATTGCTTGAGCATGATTTGCCGCAGCAGCTGCTTGTAAAAGTTGAACAGAACCATCACCACCTACATCAAAGTCATTTTCAATTTCACATTCTCCAGCCAGAAGGGGCCGAAGAAGTAAAGGCGCCATGCAAGCTGCCACAGCCGAGGAGCTCATTCTATTCACAGTTTTGCGTGAAGCCACAATTTGCATCATCATAAGTATTCTGCACAACAATGAAATCAACATTTTACATTACCAAAACATGATCTAAAAAACAGAAATGAATGGTGCAACAGAAAAATGAAAAAAAAAATTTGTTCCATTTAACCAATAGTGTGCAAGTGTAAAAAATGAACCTTAACCATTATTCAATCACAAGATGCATCAAGGAGACGTTGTCAGTAAGACTAAAAAGTATGAACCATATGAGCTCATTTACTGTCAGCTGGTTTGTTCATAATCCCGAGTATTCAATATGATATCGATAATAGATGCTTAAAGATCAATTGTTAAGGCTTAATAATCCTCTTTCATTGTTATTTAGCTAGCATTTTATTACAAATAAAATAAAATTAAAAAAAACCCTTCAATCAGGCTTTGTTGCAAATTAGTATATAGCCAGTCCTAAGCCAAAATAAAATAGAGTTGTGTTTAACAATTGACATTCAACGTGTAACTTAATCCTAGAGGGTTGCCTTAATTGCGGCCTCTTTGGTTTTTCTTCATTGGAACCTCCAACACCTTCATTGTGCTAGGTGTGAGGAAGTGTGTTTAGTACCACATCAACTAGTGATATAGCCTAACTAATGCTATAAGGCTTGGGCAATCCTTACCTTCTAAGTTGGTTTTGTGAGATTGAATTAAGCCTTAAGCCTGAATTCTATGAATCTCTGACATGGACTGACATTTTGATTGTGTTTTAAACAAAACACAGTGATGCCACTCAATCTATGTAGCAAACTACCACTTGGTAGGAAAAGGCTTTAGCTGTCATTGTTTCAAAATAAAATATATTTTTGTTTCATAATTCAATGTTAGGATTCAATCACAAAGACTTGAGATCCACATTGGAAGTATGGAACTCTAGTGTGGGGTTTATAAAGCCTTAGACTCTCCAACTATAACATCTAGCTTTTGTGGTGTGATTCTTCTATAGTTCCTATTAATTGGTATAAGGGTTTTCTATCATATGAATGACACGGGTGGTGACATTGGCAGTGCAATGTCAGAGATTAGGCTGCACAAGACTAGGGCACAGCCAACCTACATGGGCAATTGACTACAGATTGTGGTGAGATGTAATGGGGTGGTAGGATCCAAGTCAACCAACTGCAAGGAATAGAACTTGAGTTTCACATTGAAAGTATGAGATTTTAGTATGGAGTTTATAAGGGTTTGGACTCTAACTACAACGGCTGACGTGAGTTTCATACTGCAAGCTCTTATCATTCAATCTATAACTTTTTAGTATTTTCATGGTTCACTTACACATCTTTGGAGCATAAGGGACAATAATCAAACATTTAAAAGGCCTGTTCACTATTATGCTTGTCTTTTTTTGTTTAATTGATTCTCATTCATAAACAATAAATTCAACATAGTTTCTCAATAAGTAGTTCCTAAAAACACGTGCATATCATATTTACTCAAATATAAAGATATCTGACTCATCATAACTTTGTGATGTACTTGGTTTCTGAACACAGAAGACTATCCCAAATCAACAATATGTAATTCAGTGATTAAATTAACTAACTAAAGAATAAGAGTATTCTCAAACCCTGAAACTCAGTATATAAGATAACAAAGAAAGCAATCAATGGGTTATATATGAAAAGGAAAGAGTGAGAAAAAAG